CCGGCAATTTTCTGGACCCTCAAAAACTGATGGCACTTTTTCGGCTACATTTATCTGATATGTTGCAACAGTTCGTTTTTGGACCATAATCATATCTAATTCATGCTTTATGTTGATTTCCTCAGCATCAGCACATGTGCCTATATAGCTCTTCAGCTTTTCAATCTCTCATCTCAAGATCCCGTCTACCTTGTTCTTTTCAGCAGCAGCAACAGGCAAGTTTGTGCACCATCTGTTTAAGCGTGTTCTCCTCGTTATGACTTAGATTTTGTTTGTTCGTCCTTGTGAACAATTAAACGAAGAATATATTACTTCCTGTTAGCTCTGCAGCAACAACAATAATTTGTAGTACAGCAAAAATTCATCCTTGTTCTAGTCAAAGTTGAACCATATTTGGAATTTCCTTTCATTCGTGCAAGTGATTGAATCCTTTTTCTTTTGTCGATGGAATTTTACTATATATTTGTTCATTGCTTTCAAATTTTAAGCTTCCATTGCTTCTTAACAATTCTGTACACGTTACAATGTTTTATTTTTGTTACTGTTCTTCTTAGGGCAGAAAAAGGGTATGAAGGAACATCTCGAACAGAGAGCATTGGAGAGGGTCAATTGAGGAAGAAGCTTTGTGGTTGATTTGGTTTTAATTTCATAATTGGACTCTTTCATCATTTTTATCTTTGTAACAAATTAAATATGCTAAATAATAAACTTCTAATGTACATATGTTTGGGTAAAAGAATCGAAATCTTCTGTGATAATTATTTTGTGGGAAAATAATGCCTTGATATTATTGATCGTATGGTAGCTTATATATAAGGAAAAATATGTACAAAATAGAACTCTACAACAGAAAGTATTTAAGGATTAATGATGATGATATTGTACCTTATGTGGGAGCAGAGTAGATAAAATGAATGCTCGCGTCTGATATTTTGTATGATAAAAATGTGTCACCAAAACTTAAATGGTTGTTAGATTAGATGTGTTGTATGGAGCGGAGTGTTGACGGTCAAGAACTTGCACATCCAAACAATGCAAGTAACATAGATGAGGATGTTGAGATAGATGTGTGGGCATACTAAGAGAGAAAATTGGGAACATAGATATTGGAAACAAAGTGGGAGTAACTTCTGTGGAGGACAAGATGAGCAAGATGAGACTAAGATGGTTTGGATATGTGAAGAGGAAATGCACAGATGATCCTCACCCAATGAGGAGGGTTATGAGGTGATAAAAGTTGGTTGTAATGGGTCTTAGGAGAGGTAGAGGTAGATCGAAGAAGTACTGATGAGAGGTGATTAGACATGACATGACATGCAGCTTACCGACGACATGACCCTAAATAGGAGAATATAGAAGTTGTGGATTAAGGTAGAAGATTAGTAAATAGTTGATCGTGGTCTAGTTTTCGATATCAATATTATCATTAGTACTCACCCACTCTTTTATTCTTCGATTCTACTGTTACTTGTTGCTTTCATTGCTTCGGCTATTGTATTATTTATTATTACTACTATTATTTTCCCCATTGTCCTAAGGGGTTCTGTCACTATAATATTTCCTTTTACTCAGTGACTTTGACATATTTTACTTGAGCCGAGGGTCTATCAAAAACAACATATCTACCTTCACAAGGTTAGGATTCAAGATATAAAAAATAAAACTAAAATGTGGCAACAATGATTTGAACTCGGGTTGGGTGGAAAAATTAAACCCTCTTCACCACTCGGCCAAGGATCACACTTATGTTAGTGGGGTCAAAAGTTAATATATACATATAAAATTTTAAAAACTGATTAAATATACATATATACGGTGTTATTTTTCAACCAAGTGGGTTCATATATGAACCCACTTGACCCACTGTAGGTCTACCCCTGAGCTACATATACATCTCCCTCTCGAGGTGTGAATTACATATGATACGTTATTGTACCAACAATTTTATTACTCAAAATCTGAAATTAAAAAATAAAAACATATGACGGATAACTTAGATAGCAGTATCAATAATTGAGAAAACAAAAAGTACACAACAAATATATGAGAATTGTACAATTTTAAATTTGAAAAGTTAGAGTTTGAAAGAATCACATATTCACATTGAAGAAAATTATGATTAAATATGTCCTATTTTCTAAATGATATTTCATTTTTTTTTGTCACAAACACCATATACTTAAAAATTATTTCTATATTATAAAGAAAAATAAAGTTAAAACTGGAGTTCTCAACCTTTCAAAAAAAACTTTCCAAATCCTAAGGAAAATATGTACAAATTAGAACTCTAGCACAGTAAAAGTATTTAAGGATTAATGATGATGATATTGTACCTTGTGTGGGAGCAGAGTGGATAAAATGAATGCTCGCATCCAATGTTTTGTATGATAAGAATGTATCATCAATACTTAAATGTAAGTTTATAAAACAATTGTTAGGCTAGATGTGTTGTATGGAGCAGAATGTTGGCGGTCAAGAAACTCGCACATCCAAAAGATGCAAGTAACATAGAAAAGGATGTTGAAATAGATGTGTGGGCATATTAAGAGAAAATTAGGAACATAGATATTGGAGACAAAGTGGGAGTAACCTTTGTGGAGGGCAAGATGAGACTGACATGGTTTGGATATGTGAAAAGGAAATGCACAAATGACTCTTACCCAATGAGAAGGGTTATGAGTTGATAAAAGTTGGTTGTAATGGGTCTAAGGAGAGGTAGAGGTAGATCGAAGAAGTACTGATAAGAGGTGATTAGACATGACATGCAGCTTACCGACGACATGACCATATATATGAGAATATAGAAGTTGCGGATTAAGGTAGAAGATTAGTAAATAGTTGATCTCGATCTAGTTTTCGATATCAATATTATCATTAGTACTCACCCACTCTATTATTCTTCGATTCTACTATTACTTGTTGTATTCATTGCTTCGGCTATTGTATTACTCCCTCTGTCCCAATTTATGTGGCACTTTTCATTTTTCGAGAGTCAAACAGTTTAAGTTTGACCGAGAATTTGCGCACGGAATCTTCAATTTTTTTGAAATAAAATTTATATATTTGTGAACTACGTAAAAAGTACTATAAGTTACAATAATTGTTCATTCAAAATATTTAAAAAATCTATGAAAAATTTACTATCAAAGATAGACTTTTTTTGAAATCTTGAAATTCGAAAAGTGCCACATAAAATGGGACGGAGGGATTATTTATTATTACTACTATTCATTTCTCCATTGTCCTAAAGGGTTCTGTCACTATGATATTGACATGCTTTATTTGAGTCGAGGGTCTATCAGATACAACAACTGTAGCCTTCACAAGGTTAAGATAAGACTACATATACATCGATCACCCTCTTGAGGTGTGAATTATATTTGATATGGTATTGTACCACAATTTTAATACTCAAAATCTGAAATTTTAAAAAAAATGATGGATAACTTAGATAGCAGTATCAATAATTGGAAAAAAAAAAGTACACAATAAATATATGAGAATTGTACAATTTTAAATTTGAAAATTGAGAGTTTGAATTTTGAAAGAATCACATTGAAGAAAATTTTGATTAACTATGTTTTATTTTCTAAATGATATTTCATTTTTTGTCACAAACACCATATACTTAAAAAATATTTCTATATTATAAAGAAAAATAAAGTTAAAACTGGAGTTCTCAACCTTCCAAAAAAAAACTTTCCAAATCCGAAGTTTCTATATGCTTGGTTGAGTTGATTATAGAGAAAGTGTAAATTCTTTCCTCTTTTTTTTTTTGGTATAAAAATTTCCATAAAATATACTACAAAAGTTTCCAAATATGTTTTTTTCTGTTATAGAAAACGTGTAGAAGTACAGAAAGTTTCCATAAAAAATTTACATACAACTGTGCCTCTCTGTATAAATTGGTTACTCTGTTTTTCTTCTTTTGTACATTTTGAGAAGAAAAAAAACAGAAGAGAAATTGAGTGTATAATGGAGAATTTGAAAGAGGGTTTCCGATTCAGTCCGACTGATGCAGAAGCTGTTACTTTCTTGTTGAAATTCATTGCTGGAAAATTGATGAATGATTCTGGATTCATCACTACTCATGTTGATACTTACAGTAAACAAGAACCATGGGATATTTACAGTCATGGAGTACCCTGCTGTAATGACGACGACTGTACTCAGTATCGCTTCTTCATCACAAAGCTCAAGAAGAAAAGCAAGTCAAGATATAGTCGCGATGTGGGAAATAAGGGCAGTTGGAAACAGCAAGACAAGAGCAAACCTGTTCGAAAGAGCGGTGGACCAGTGATTGGATACAAGAAGAGCATGTGTTATAAGAATAAAGGCTATAAGCAGGAAAATGGTCACTGGTTGATGAAGGAATACGACCTCTCAACGTATATTCTTGACAAATTTGACAAGGATTGCAGAGATTATGTTCTCTGTGCTATTAAGAAGAGAACTCGCACCAAAGGCACAATGAAGTTGATGAATGCTGTTCCTGAAGGGTGCACGAATTCGGAAGACCAAAGTTCGGCATCTGTGGAATCAACTAGTTATGACGAGGCATTACAAGCCCAGTTAGAGTTGCTGAACAATATGCAGGATGTTACTAACATGGTCGTCGTTGTGCCATTATCATCCCCTGATACTTTTGAAGCCATGCCCATGCTAGATATTGATTTTGATATTTTACCTGACTTTGATTGTCTAGGAAGCATCACAGATTCATTATGTAGTTATTAATATTGTTGAACAAGCTGTATAATTGAATTTCTCTACTTTTATTATATAGGAGTGGAACACATGTTAAAGCATTACAGATTCATTATCAAAGTTGAAACATATTTTTGGAATTTCCTAAATGCAATGATATGTAGGAATTACACAATTTCTAAAGCGATATTCGATCATCTTCTCCTATTACACTGGGATTACACCGAGTATGTTGTTGTTTTCATGCTAAAGTCAAAATTGTCAGAGGAGTGTATGTTTTCCATCCCTAATATTCACTCATACACTTGAAGAACAAACCTTCTCATCGTGAGAGAACTTGCACGCAGCACCTTTTTCCACTCTGTCTCTTCATCCTCTTCCTCTTTCTTTTTATAGTTGGTAACATGATCCACTCTGATTATTCTTCCCAGGATCTGAGCACCGTTTAAGTTCTCTGCAAGTCAAATATAAAAAAAAGCGAGTTATATAGCCAAAATATGTTTAACCATGTGACCTTATCTAAAAGGTTATAAGTCAAACAAAGGACAAATCAAGCACTGGAAATTATTTTCAAGGTTGAACCTAAAAGAATACGAGAAAGAGAGATAGAGACGTACCCACAGCAAGATTCGTACTCCTTTGATCATCGTAAGCAACCAAACCGAAACACTTTGACTTGCCTGTACCTTTATCCCTAACAAGATTGACATCAACAACCTCCCCATACCTAATTAACATCAAAGACACTACTACTATTAGATGATGAAAACAAAGTGATCAAGAAATGAGAAATGCTCAAAGCATAAGATGTCTTACTGAGAAAAAACAGCGAGAAGATCACATTCAGTGAGGTCAAAAGGAATGCCGCCAACGAATACATAAGGTGAGTCTTTGTATCTGGTATGCCAGGATGCCTGATAATAGGAGATTCCTAAGGATGCTTCTTTTGCATTAATATTCTGAATACGCCTCAACGGATTCATTGCAGTATTCCAATTCCTCAAACCTGAGTGGTCGTTTATTAATACAGAAATTAGTTTATTTTGTAGATATTAGGAAATTCAATTGAAAAAAATATAATAGATAAACATGTGAGCTGAGAAATTAAGACGCCAATTAATTGGAAACTCAACAAAAAAACAAACGTTTTTTTTCAATTTCAATCATTCAAACAAACGGCGTGGAGCAAGGGAATTCGGAATAGAAAAACTAGATTTTGATTTCGTATTTGGTCAAAACAGAAGCTGAGCAGCAGAAGGGTTTGTTAATCCACACAGTTCTGGAGTTCAGTGTTTCTTTTGTGACGAAAAGATGAAAACGAACACCAAATACGGATCATGAGATCCGAATTGCTTCAGAGGGTTACAAATATTCTCTTATTGCCTACACAACAATTGCCTAAAAGCAAAGAAACAATAGTTACACCAACAAAAGATAAATAGAAACAAACCACCCATTATGACTGATAAAGAAAGAAGTGGAGCAATCTTTGGTACGTAGTTCACAACTTCCATAAATATATCACTCCTTCAAGCTGGTGAAAGTTGAGTGAAAACCTCAAATGGTCATCAGATAAAGTACTAGAAGTAGATGTTTGTTTCAACATCCATTCCAATACAGCTGGACTTTCCAGAGCCCCTGTGTCGAAAACGAGTATGAACACAACAGACATGGCGTTTTCATGCTGATGATGATGATTCGAAGAAGAATGAACTTCCAAGATCCAATTAGTTAATCACTAGATTTACTGAACGCAAAATGTAATTTTGATGCTTGTCTAGATTGCGAACATGAAAATTGATTCTTCAGGACCTGAGATCAGCAGGGGCTTCATAGATACAAATTATGAAGGGCAGAGTAAGAAATGAGAAATTAAAAATTTCCTTAAAACCGGAGTTGTTAAAATCCATTATAGAGATGTTGAGGAATGAGGAGTTAGAGTTTTTATTGGGGACATAATTCATGACATTGTGAACGAAATATATCAAGAGATTGAATAGTGATTCGTCGTCTAAAAATTTTGTTGAATTGTTCTTGATTCTTAACGGCTCCATTAAGAATTTCATATCTTTACTTCAACTTTTTTTGTATCGTATGAAGACGATTTGTATTCTTTATTTGTAACATTAAACGTAAAGAATGTAGGCTTAATTTCAAGTTTTCATCCCACAAGCCACAAGAATGTGACTGGTTCTGTGACAAGCTCCTACAACAACTCTGCCTAACAGCCTAATGTTAACGTTTTACTTAACAAAAAATTAACCTTATGACTATCAAACCTCTCTATAACAACGTAATTATAAAATTGGAAATCTTGGATATCGGAATTAGTGTTTCAAAAATTGTATACCTTATATTCAGTCCTACTGATAGCAAATGTGTTCAATAGTACCTACTCAAGAACAAGTTCCTCTAATTATCTGAAGCATCAAAATTAAAAAAGAACTAGTGATTGAATTGTTGGTTTTGGAGCATTTTAATATTATATAATTATAGTTAAGGTGCATATTCCATTTCCAGAACTTTAGTCTCTTTTCCTTGTTCTAGTGTACATATGTTTGTGTAAAAGAATCAAAATCTTTTCTGTGATAATTATTTTGTGGGAAAATAATGCCTTGTTATTATTGATATGTACAAAATAGAACTCTACAACAGTAAAAGTATTCAAGGATTAATGAATACTCGTGTCCAATGTTTTGTATGATAAAAATGTGTCACCAAAACTTAGATGTGTTGAATAGAGCAGAGTGTTGGTAGTCAAGAACTCGCACATCCATCCAAAAGATGCAAGTAACGTAGATGATATTGTTGAGATAGATGTGTGGAAACACTAAGAGAGAAGATTAGGAACATAGATATATGAGACAAGGTGTGAGTAACCTCTGTGGAGGACAAGATGAGATTGAGATGGTTTGGATATGTGAAGAGGAAATGCACAGATGACTCTCACCCAATGAGGAGGGTGATGAGGTGACAAAAGTTGGTTGTAGTGGGTCTTAGGAGAAGTAGAGGTAGACCGAAGAAGTACTAAGGGGAGGTGATTAAACATGACATGACATGCAGCTTACTGAGGACATGACCATAGATAGGAGAATATAAAAGTTGTGGATTAGGGTAGAAGGTTAGTAAATAGTTGATCGTGGTCTAGTTTCCGATATTAGTATTATCATTAGTACTCACCCACTCTTTTATTCTTCGATTCTACTATTACTTGTTGTTTTCATTGCTTCGACTATTGTATTATTTGTTATTGCTAAAGTTCTTTTCTCCATTGTCCTAATGAGTTCCGTTACTATGGTATTTCCTTTTACTCACTAATTTTGACATGCTTTACTTGAGCCGAGGGTCTATCAGAAACAACATATCGATCTTCACAAGATTAGGGTAAGACTACGTATGCATCACCCTCATAAGGTGTGAATTACATTTGATACGTTATTGTACCACAATTTTACTCTGGAAAAAAAAAATAAAAAAAAAAATATGACGAATAGCTTAAATAGCAGTATCAATAATTGAGAAAAAATCTACACAATAAATATATGAGAATTGAACAATTTTAAATTTGAAAAGTGAGAGTTTGAAATAATCACATCGAAGAAAATTATGATTAAATATGTTTTGATCTTTTCTAAATGATATTTCATTTTTTTTTTGTCACAAACACCCCATACTTAAATTATTATTTTTTATATTATAAAGAAAAATAAAGTTAAAACTGGAGTTCTCAACCTTCCCAAAAAAAAAAAAAACTTTCCAAATCGTAAGTTTCTATATGCTTTTGTTATAGAGAACATGTAATTTATTTCCTTTTTTTTTTTCGGTATAAATAGTTTCCATAAAATATTACAACAAAAGTTTCCAAATATGTTTTTTTCTGTTATAGAAAACGTGTAGAAAGTTACCATAAAAAATTTGCATACAACTTTGCCTCTCTATATAAATTGGCAACTCTGTTTTCTTCTTTTGTACGTTTTGAGAAGGAAAAAAAATAGAGTGTATAATGGAGAATTTGGAAGAGGGTTTCCGATTCAGTCCGACTGATGCAGAAGCTGTTACTTTCTTGTTGAGATTCATTGCTGGAAAATTCATGGATGATTCTGGATTCATCACTACTCATGTTGATACTTACAGTGAACAAGAACCATGGGATATTTACAGTCATGGAGTACCCTGCTGTAATGACGACAATGACTGTACTCAGTATCGCTTCTTCATCACAACGCTCAAGAAGAAAAGCGAGTCGAGATATAGTCGCAATGTGGGAAATAAGGGCAGTTGGAAACAGCAAGACAAAAGCAAACCTGTTCGAAAGAAGGGTGGACCAGTGATTGGATACAAGAAGAGCATGTGTTATAAGAATAAAGGCTATAAACAGGAAGATGGTCACTGGTTGATGAAGGAATACGACCTCTCTACGTATATTCTTGACAAATTTGACAAGGATTGCAGAGATATTGTTCTCTGTGCTATTAAGAAGAGAACTCGCACCAAAGCCACAATGATGTTGATGAATGAAGAGTGCACAAATTCGGAAGATCAAACCTAGCTCTGTGGAATCAACGGAAAATGTGTGTTGCACGTTTATCCTTATTATTGTTACTATATAACTTTTTATATTTAAAATTGTGTTATCTAATTGAAAATACTTAAATCAACAATATTACTTAATTTTGTTTGTTTGTCCTTGTGAACGATCAAATGAAGAAGATATTACTTCCTGTTAGCTCTGCAGCAACAACAACAATTTGTAGTACAATTTGCTGAAAAGCTTCTTTTCTGGTTAATTGATTGAAATACCTTTAAATTTGATTAAAGTAAAATAAATTTGCTGCTTCAACTACTTTAATTTTATTTTAACTCAAAAATAAATTAATTTGTGTCTCAATTCACTTTTATCTGAAAGAAATTACGATGTATTTAAAGAAAGTTACTTTTTCTTGAGAAAGACTCCTAAAGAATGATGATCAAAAGTTTTGAATTGAAAAGAGTCCTACATAGGGTTTCTATGAGGGGAGGATATTTTGGGGTTTACAATATTTAAGGGATAATAAAGAAATTATTTTGGTCAAAATAAAAATGTTGTTTAAGTGAAAAAAAAAAACAATAAGTTGAGACCAATTTACAATTTTTAGCTTATTTTGGCTTTAAAATACCCAACTTAAAAGTATTTTAAATGTTAAGCAAATACCAAATTAAGTTTAAAATATTTAAACATAGGTTTGATCAGCTTTTAAAGCCACCCAAAATACCTTTAAGACCCTACTTGTTTGCACTTAATAAGTCTAATCCTCATTTGTTTGAACTTAATGGAGGTCTGAATCTTAATAATTCAAATTTACCCCATTAAGTACTTTTTTTTTTTAAGTCTGAATCTTAATTATTCAGATTCAGCCTATTAAGTTTGTTTGTTTCTTTTTAAAAAAAGCCTCTGAATGAATCAGATCTCTAGAAGAGTCTTAACACCATTCAGACTCATTTAATATAGTATCTCTAAAAAAAAAAAAAACAACTCATGCTGCACTTATGTCTCTCCCACGCCGCAATCAACATGCTTCTGCCTCTCCCTCTCTTTGCCGATTCTCTCTATCTAAATTTCAAATGAAATTGTACTGACTTTTCGACTCAGAATTTGGAAAGGATTGTTTGCTCACGGTGAAACTTTCAGTTTAAGCACCAAAAGAAAATAATTTAATAGAATTGTCAAATACATCGCCAAGTTCATATGCAATTAATGTGGAAACTTGAACAAATAGTCATGTATCTGAGGTTGAAATAAAAATAGTGAGACTTTTTTATGAATTTCAACATGATATTTTTAAATATCAGGTAGTTATTTTTTTTAAATCAGATATCAACATTCAAAATATTATTTTCTATTAAAAGATATATTATTTTGTATAAAATGAGATTTTTATAATATGTTATTGATATAGTGTTTAATTTCATATGCACATTTAGATATTGAAAACAAACAATCTTA